TTAAATAAATTTAAATTCATTCAAATCGGATAGGTAGTTTTTGAGATATATTGCTTTTTGTCACCGCCATTTTTTTCGTTACACACTGTATATGATGAATCGTGAACATTATTCCATAACGGAGCGGTTGCATTAAAGGGATTTGTCAAATCAAGATAAAATACTTCGTTTGAAACAAGGTTATTGACATCCACTCCACCAAAGAAATAAATTTTGTTGTCCACCTTTACAGCCGAATACGCTGAACGTCCCAAAGATGTAAATGATTTAACCTCCTTAAAGAACGAGCCAAATATGAAATTGACGAACAAATAAATGAATCATAATTATAACAAGAAAGCCATGATTAATTTGAAATTGGGAAGTATCAAAAGATGGAATTTAAAGTTTAATATATATATTCATAAAATCCATTATTTAATTATATTACATAATTGGTAGTCTTTTGCGTGGATTTTCCAAAAGTTACCTGTTAAACTTGTTTGTTACTTGTCTGATAAGACCAGAGAGAGAGAGAGCAAAATGGCAGTTGAAGTCCGTGGATTGTTGGTGGTAGTATAATTGGACATAAACTGCATCATGAAGATCTCGAACATCATGTTATCCTTGAAAAGCCTAGTTGTAAATTGTTGATCACAAATTTCCCAATGACTTGATCATTATTCCTTTATGACTCTTGATGACTCTATCTCATGTCATAACTATTTACGGCTAATATGTTTTGCCTCCTTTGGGGCAAACTTTCTGCGCCACAATATGCCATTGAAAAATGTAAATTACCGATTAAAACAGAGATCTTTTTTTGCAACATTAAATAATTTAGGATTTACAAAATACGCAGCATTTTGAGCAATGACAACTTATTAATCACAAAATCTTTTAAAATTAAAAAAAAATTTTGAAATGACGTCTAACTGCGGTTACAAAAATAAAAAAAAGAAACATTGATGGTTGCTAAAAATAATATTTAATAGTTAATTGAAATTGGATTCAAATAGCTTACACTAAAAAATTCAATTAATTGACCTTGAGTTTAAATTTCAGCTTTTCAGAGATTCTGATTACAGTTGATGATTTCATGTAATGACTTGTCATGATTTACGGTAATTAGTAACGTCACGCTTGAAGTTTACGTGATGCATCTACTTAAGTTTGGAAATATACTATTAAATAAATTATTTCTTATTTGACTTAATTTTTTTTTGAATAAAATAAAAAAGCAAATGGTGAAATTGAGAAAGGCATATCATATGAGACTTTATTTATTTAGTAGGGAGGCGGGTTTAAGTATTCGAACAAGAAAAAATAATTTATACACAACACAACTTGGGAATTGTAGGAAATAACACAATAATACAACTATAAACAGAGTTTATAAAGAATTTAGTATAAGAGCATCTGCATCAATGATTGACTCCTTATACTATCCTAACTATTCTAATACGACTGTACACATATTTCGAAAAGGAACAAATTCTTACTTTATTTATATTTACGAAATCTAATATGGGAGGAAAATCAGTCTCTGGGAATTTTTTTACAAAATTTTGATTTTTATTTCATTTTAGTTTTTGATGTTTTTCTTAGAAAACTTCCATATATCAAATAGGATAAATGTAAACTACCAAGATTTCGTGCTTAATATACAATGCATACATAAATACATAAATCCACCCAGTTTTTAATTACTCCGAACAAATATGACTTCGGTCAGTCACACTTTATTAATCATTTTTATACGTACTAACTTTTATTAATATGATAAGTCCTTTAAGGTCATTTAGAATATCCGAAATGATCATTCGAAGTGCTCATCCCAATTTGGATTTCTGATTTTGGATATCATAAATAAACATTTCGGAAATCAACGCATTTGTGAAAAAAAAATCTGAAAATCTTATTGAAATAAAATTTATAACTGCTAATTACTTCGCTACATTTTATCCCTAATTTGCGAAATAGAAATATATATAAATATATAATCTATAAATATTATACAAATAAAATATTAAGAAATGCACTACATATTATAGTTTTCATTGGAACTTATATCAAGTCTTGTGATTTGCTTTTCTAATAAAATCTATGCATAACACCGAATAGAGGTTGGAACCGTATTTATTTTTTATATCTGGTGTTAACCCAATTTTGTACCAAAATCAGGTTAACCAAACAAGTATTAATTCTAACTCAGGCCCATCCTAAGAAAGATTTATTCAACAATCTACTTAATACGATTCTTTGTGTAGTTGGTCTTTTGTCAGAGTGTAACTTGAAATTTATTATGGCAAGATTTCGGACGTCTCTTCTCAAGACTCGTCAACCTTATTCTTTGAACAAAGCGGTGGTTTTATTATTATTATTTTTATTACTATTAATTCTTTTTTATTAATATTTTGGGGACTGATAAAATTAGGCAACGCATATTTCTTTAGTTTTTTTTTAAGTGATTTCTTTTGGTTCAGAAGTGACAAGTATTTTTATTTATAGTATAGTTTCCTTTTAGTTTCTTAATTTTTTTATTTTTTTTTTTTTCCTTTTGCTTCGGGTGCAACGATTTTTTCGTGGGCCTTTTTAGATATTTTATTTTAATATAATTTATTTTATATTTTAAATTTTTTTTTCTTGTTCCTCCACTTTCGAGTGAACGGCTTTATCATTAATAAATGTCAGAAGTTATTGCAGCAGAATTTTCCAATACGGGTGTTACATTACAATAAATTATTTAGGAGTGCCAGTTTGATTTATGCACTATCTATAAACTGAACGATGTCCTGAACATTTACCTTATCAAGGAAACGAGTAAAGAGTTCGAGAAATCATAATATTCATCTCTAAGTATCTTTTACCTCTGAGACATAAATATTCTTATGTCGCTGGAGAAGGTTTGGTAGCAGCTTATTGATTGAATGGATACAATGGTGAAGTTAATAAATAAGATAAAAGAGTTTAAAAATTGGAAATGGAATAAAGAAGATCATATTAATTTATTTAATAAAATACTTGCCGTATTTAAAATATTGTATGTATTATATAGTCTTTATTTAGTATAAAGTAATTTTAAAATTATAACGTATTTACACACCTGTAAAAAAAAAAAAAATAGGTTCACTTACAGAACTACTTCGCAATGAATTTCGAATATACACATCATTTCAATATAAATAAAATTAATATATATATAGTACCGGTATTCCAAATCTTTTTAAAAAATGTAAATGATCTCAAAATCGTAATGTCGTACTAATAAAGCATTTTTTTTTTATTAAACTAGACCTTACACCCTCTCCGTTTTATTATAAAAATTTTTTTAAAAAAAAAATCGTTTAAACGTAAATTTAATAAGTGATCCTTATATCAAGAGTTCGTTGTTTTGACTGTATTTTAATATCTTGTGAAAACTTTTGTTATTAAAATTTTGTATATTAAAAAATTTGCAATTTTTTGTCAAAATTTAAAACTAAATTTAAATAAATTGCGACGAACTCGACGAGTATTCTCTTAACATTTTAAACTAATATAAATAATTAGTAAATAACTTACAAACATGAGTATTCCAGTTTTATTGAAGTTTTGACGAAAATACCATTTTCTTGTTAAAATTCCAAAAAAAAAAAAATAAGAAATATTAAAAAAAACAAGTCCAATTTTATTTCTTTAAAATTTAATAAGCTGAATTCCCGGATAATCCTTATTATATTTGGCAATTCGTGCCGAAAATCAATTAAGTACTGAAACGTTACATTACACTATATATGGTTGGATCAACTTTTCATAACAATATATATCCTTATCAATGGTAAATATTTTGTTTTTAATACTTTCAATATTAACATGATTATTAAAACTGAAGTTTTGTTTGAAGAAAACAAAAAACTAAATGAAATAATAGATGGATTAAAAAGAACGTTCAATAACAAATTAAAACAAAAGGATGAAACAATAAGGAACCTTGCTGAATCTCTAGATAAGAGACAGCAAGAATTAAAACAAATGGATGAAAAAATTGAAAATAAAAATGAAGAAATTAAGAGATTAGAATTACTGTTAAAGCGAGAGACTGAAGCTCATATAATAACAAACGTCCAGTTAGTAGAAATAAAACATCATAGTTTAACTAAAAGAGAAAACTTACATCAAGAGCAACAGAATCAAAAACAACGACGTCAAGAAGAGTTGGAAGAGCAGCAACGTCAAGAGCAATTGCAAAAACAGCGACGTCAAGAAGAGTTGGAAGAGAAGCAACGTCAGGAGCAATTGCAAAAACAACGAAGTCAAGAAGAGTTGAAAATGAAGCAACGTCA